CATAACTGTTATTAATAATATGTATTTGTAACAATTTTTCTCCCCTACAGTTGACAATATAATTAAAATTGCTTTCTTAGCCTCCCATAAACCCATCTTATTTTACAACAATCCTACTTCTTCTTCCTTCCTTCCTTCCCTCCTTCATTCCCTCCTTTCTTCTCTCCTTCTCTCCTTCCTTCCTTCCTCCTCTCCTTTCCGGTGTCTCCTTCCTCTCCTCTACCCTTCCCCTCTTCTTCCCTTTCCTCCCCTCTCTCCTACTCTTACATTCCCTCCAATTCTTCCTCTGCTTTTCCCTCTCTCAGGAGCCTGTTTTCATTGGCAGAGTGCTCAGGTCACCACAGGGGCCCCCCATAACACCAGTGAGGTTGAGCTGGCCATGCCCACCGTGGCCACGTCCCCCCTGCACCCCACCCTCCAGGTTAAACACAACCCTGATGCGGCCCTCAATCAAATTGAGTTTGACATCCCTGCTCTAAAGGTTCCTTCCCAGCTCTTTGACGTAAATGCCATTTTTACATAGGGAGTAAATGTAGATTAGAGGTGCTTGCAACCTGAGATCCATGCTTCCCGTATCTTTACTAAGCTATCGCATCCTTTGTCTGACTCAGGTTTAGGGAAAACCACGAATCCAGCTGTTGTACAGATAGTTCTCGACTTACGATCACAATTCTCAGAAGAATCTTCTTTTCTTTCACTTAATAAAGCCTTTTCTCCTTATCGACATAGGTTCTGTTCTGGATGTGATCAAGCACATTGTAGCCAAAGGAGAACATAAGAATGGCGTCCTGGATGAGCCTGTAATAGCCACAATCCTCAAGGAAGTTTTGGAAGGACTGGAGTACCTGCATAAGAATGGGCAAATCCACAGGTGGGTCTCAGGTTCAGATCGCATTGCTTCAGATCGCTGATGCGTCCATCTTTTCCCTATCCATGAAGAACCAGAGCTCTGAATTCCCAGCTGCTATCTCCCCCCATTTGTTTGTCTGGTGTTAATCCCTGCTTACTGGGCACTGGCTGCTGGAAACAATGTGTTCTAGTGTTTCTGTTTCCTTCCTGGGCTTTCATTAGTCTTTTTTTGAATGGTGTGTAAATGTGGCTTATCTCTTTGTGCTTATTGATGACTGAAGACATAGAGTGACTTCTGCCAGTAAGGAAACAGGAACTCAGGCAAGATTGACAGCTGCCAGGCATAGAGCCGTGTTAGTTTCTGGTTTCAAAAAATGTCAGGAAGGATTTGGTGGCAACATTGTATGAAAAGGGCAGGCAATTTGTTGAGGTTGCAGCATCCTCCCATCGGGCGTCGCTTCCTGATTGGCTGCCAGTCGTGGGATTCATGATTGACTTGTCAGGAAGCAAGTGGTCCCTTCTCGTCAGGCGCCAGTCTCTTTATGATTAGCTCCTGCATGGCTGAACCTTAATTCTGGCAAGCTTAAGAAGGAACAATATTTAAAACTCCCTTCCAGTAGCTTATCTCGATCTGAAAAGGCTACATCAGGCCCTGTCAACTGGCAGCCTGTGGGCCGGTGCAAGCCACACCCACCCCAGTTCCGCAAAGGCAAAAAAACCACTGTGATAACATCACAACCAGACCCGCGACATGATTGAGTTTGACACCCCTGTTCTGCATAGTTTGGGTTGCCCAGAAGGCTGAAAAACCTTGGAGCTTAGAGCTTCCTTCATTGGAAGAAGGGAAAGTGATTATTTAAAACAGGGGTGTCAAACTCAAGGCCCAGGGGCCAGATCCCGCCCACGGGGTGCTTAGATCTGGCCTGCAGGGCCACGCTCGGAACAGCGAAATCTACCAGCAAAAATGGAGCTCTTCCTCGGCTCCATTTTGCTAGCGGAGGGTTGCAGGAGGCCGTTGCGGGTGAAAATGGAGTTCGGGGGCCTGTTTTTACCGGCAGAGTCCTCAGACCACCACAGGCGCCCCCGGGATAAGTGACATCGAGCTGGCCATGCCCACCCTAGCCATGTACACTTGGCCCCCTGAGGTCAAACACAACCCTGATGCAGCCCTCGATGAAATTGAGTTTGAAAACCAGGGCTGTCAAACTCAATTTCATTGAGGGCTGCATCAGGGTTGTGTTGTACATGGCTATGGTGGGCATGGCCAGCTCGGTGTCACTTATGCACTTAATGTACATTAAAACAATATTTCTCAACCTCAACAGCTTTAAAATGCTTTTTGTTCTCCTTCTCTCAAGCAAGAGACCCCGTGCCATTTCAGACAAAGAGTTCCCTAATCTCTTTTTAAGAACCTTGGGTGTTGGGGCTCCCATAGCTTCTGGGGGGAAGTCATTCCACTGATTAATTGAGGGGTCCTTGCTTCTTCTCTTGCAGACATTTCATTATGCAAACTAGGTAATATCATCGAGGAGTACAGCTTGCTGCCAGCCTATATTCTAGCGGCTTGTTGGTGGGGGCGGACTTAGAGGCTTTTGGGTTGGGCTTTTGGATCTTTGGCAGTTTGTGATTGGGATCGGGGTGAAATCCTCCCGGTTTGGCTGAACCGGTAGGGGATGATTGCCATTGGTTCTGCAAGTAGTAGGTTAAAAAAAAAGCTTCCGAGGATCAGCTGTGAGCCGTGCAATCGTCAGAAGCTCCCCACCCCGCTTTTTAAAGCATTTTTTCCTCTGCAGGTTCAGCCAAATAGGTAGGGAAAAAAATGCTTTAAAAAGTGAAAAAAAGTTGGCCATGCCCACCCATATGACCATCGCCACCATCACCAAGCCACGCCCACAGAACCGGTGGGCAAAAAAAATAGATTTCACCACTGATTGGGGTATTGTTTACTTGGTTGTTGGTCTAATGTTAACTTTGGAGGTAATTTATGCCTGGGTACTGATGGCTGGTGGAGAAGTGCTGGGGTCTTTTTCTTTATTTACCTACTTACCGTATTTTTGGAGTATAAGACGCATCAATTTTTTTTGTGAAAAATGGGGCACGCAGAGATTTTGAGATGCCTGAAAAGTGTTCCTGGGGGTTGGGGTGGCAAAAACAAGCAAAAAAGACCCGTTTTTCACACACAAAAAAAGGCATGCATAGCCTTTAGGAGGCTTGTAGAGTGCTCCTGGGTGCTGGAGGGGACAAAAACGAGCAAAAAATGGCCGTTTTTCATGAAAATGGGCCCAATTTTTGTCAAAAAAAGGGCATGGATAGCCTTTAGGAGGCTTGTAGAGTGCTCCTGGGTGCTGGAGGGGACAAAAACGAGCAAAAAACAGCCCATTTTCCGCTCGTTTTTGCCCTCCCCACCTCCCCCAGGAGCACTTTGCATGCCTCCCAAATCCTCTGCAAGTCCATTTTTGTGAAGTGGGCGGGGCTTCGTGAGGCCGAAGATGCTGTATTCAGCGTCTTTTATAACTTTTTTGGCCACAGCTCTTAAACGAACCACTGCTGTTCATAAGTTAGTAACCTGGGTTGTGAAGTGTATCTGGCTTCCCCAATGACTTCGCTTGTCGGAAAGTGGCCAAAGCTAATCGCGTGACCCCTTGGGGCACTGCAACCGTTATAAATATAAGCATCTAAATTTTGTTCACATGATCGTGGGGTTGATACAACGGTCATAACTATGAAGAACGGTCCCCAGTTTTCAGTGCCATTGTAGCTTTGAAGGTCGCTATGCGGACCGTTGTAAGTCGAGGACTACCTGCATTGCAACACAGCTACAAAATCTACCTCCACAGTCTTGCAGTCGATCGGAGGGAAAGCTGGAATTTTGCCCTTTTCCTCCCTTGGGTGTCCTNAGGGCTGTGTTTATTGTTTAATGTTATATGGCCCCGGTTATGCACAGTATATATGTGACTGTACGAAATGAAATGAAAATAAAACATATTTACATAAAGTGATGCCAAATTACCGTACCTTTTGGACTATAAGACGCACCAAGATTTTGAAGAGATGAATTAAAAAAAAAAAGTTTTTGCACTCTGCAGGCCTCCCAAACCCTCTACACGCCTGGTTTTTTTGTACAAAATGGGACATGCAGAGAGTTTGAGAGGCCTGCAAAGTGCTGATGGAAGGTGGGGAACAAGCAAAAACCAGCCTGCTTTTTGTGAAAATGAGCCTATTTTTGTGTGTGCAAAAAACAGGGCATGCATAGGCTTTGGGAGGCTCGTAAAGTGCTCCTGAGGGCTCGGAGAGGGGCAAAAACCGGCCCGTTTTTCCCTTTTTTTTGCCCTCCACAGCCCCCAAGAGCACTTTGCAGGCCACTTTCCCAAACCCTCTGCAGGCTCATTTTTGCAAAGAGGGTGGGGTTTTGGGAGGCCAAAAATGCTCTATTCAGTGTATAAGACGCACCCAGATTTCCACCCTCTTTTTTGCTGGGGGAAAGGTGCGTCTTATACTCCGAAAAATACGGTAGCTCTCCTTCCCTCCCTTTTAGAACTGAAGCCTCACTAGCAATTTTATTAATCCATAAGGTGAGCAAATGGGCCTTTTAAGGGATTCTTACAGGAGTCAGAGATGTAAACATTTCTCTGTTCCGCAATGCTGGTTACTCACACAGCATATGTGAGAGAGAAAGACAGATTGATTGACGGGCAGGGCAGACCAGTGGTGAAATTCAAAAAATTTCCTTACCGGTTCTTTGGGCTCTCCCAAGCCGGAGTGGCTTGGCGGTCATGTGATGGTAGGCGTGGCTTGCTGGTTACGTGACTGGGCGTGCCTGCATGGCCAAGTCGACATCACATTGTAAAAGCAGCTGGACTTCACACAAAATGGCCCCTGTAACAAGCAGGAACCTTACAGACAATCAGGCACAGCTGATTGTTGCACAGCTGATCGTCAGAGCTTTTTTTAACTAGCATTTATTTTACTATTGGTTCGGGCAAACCAATAATACCTTTTCTTTCTGTCTGTCTGTCTGTCTGTCTATCTATCTATCTATCTATCTATCTATCTATCTATCTATCTATCTATCTATCTATCTATCTATCTACTTACCTGTTTCTATCCCCCTCCCCTCCATCCATCATCCATCCATCCATCCATCCATCTATCTATCATCTATCTATCATCTATCATCTACTTACCTGTCATGTCTCTCTCTCCCTCCCCCTCCTCGCCATCCATCCGTATCTATCTTATCTATTTATATCTATCTATCTATCTATCTATCTATCTATCTATCTATCTATCTATCTATCTATCTATCTAACTACTTACCTGTTTCTATCTCCCTCCCGCGCCCCCTCCTCTCCATCCATCATCCATCCATCCATCCATCCATCCATCCATCCATCCATCCATCCATCCATCCATCCATCCATCCATCCATCCATCTATGTATCTCTGCCTTTTATGTATACTAAAACCCTTCCCATTAGCACATTTGCCACAGTTTCTGCTATTCCTCCAGCATCCTAAATTGGATGATTGAAAATATCGGGGGGGGGGGGGGATCTAGATGTAGTATTAACACATTACTGATCCTGTTGGCAATTTCTGAAGACACTTCATTAATTGTATTTTTAATACAGTACATAAATAAACCACTCTAAATGCTTCTTGCCAGATTAAAACCTCTTTCAAAAACTGTTTCTTTACTTCAATAAGATTTGTACGCCATTCTCATCCGGAGAGGACTCAGGTCAGCTCACATTCCCGCCTTAAGAAACTTAAAATAGCAAAACTAAATTAGAGAGAGCACCCATCAGCTGTAAAGAAAATTATAAAAAAAACAGGCACAATAAAAACCCACACAGAGATAATGGCTGGGTTAAAAAAAAACTTCATTCAGTGACTTCAGCCCCTAGAATTCCCAGGAGATAAAGATTCTGGCAGGGGGATTCTGGGAATTAGAAGTCTACACATCTAGAAGTGGCCAAATTGGGAAACACTGGATGGATAATCATCTCCTTGCACAACAGAAGTGATTTGACTCTTTTAAGAGTCAACTGCCGAGGTGGCGCAGTGGTTGCAAGAGCCGAGGTGACGCAGTGGTTAGGGTTATCTGACTGTTATCTGCAGTTCAGTGGTTCTAATCTCACCGGCTCAAGGTTGACTCAGNGGGTAAAATGAGGACCCGGATTGTTGTTGGGGGCAATATGCCGACTCTGTAAACCGCTTAGAGAGGGCTGAAAGCCCTATGAAGCGGTATATAAGTCTAACTGCTATTGCTATTGCTATACTAACTTAACTACAGTGATTCACTTATACCTGTGGCAAGAAAACGGTGTCCCTTACTTAAAAAGTGTTTTTTTTTTCAAAAGGTTGGGGGTCATTGTATAAATCAAGGACTTCCTGCATTGTCGAAAAAAAGGAATCAAAGGCTCCACTTTTAACATGGGAAATTGTGCAGCACTAATCCCTGCATTGTTTTTCTTTAAGAAAAAAGAACAACCCCTGAACAACTGTGTAATCCGCAGGTTAAATACAAGCCTTGCAACAGATACATCTGCTGATAAGGAAGCTTTGTAAAAACCGGTTCTTTGCAGAAACTGGGATCTTTGTTGAAAGAATTTGCTCATATCTTGTTCAGCAGGAAACATGAGTTGCTATGTCGAAAAGTAACCAAAAAACAAACAAACTTCAGGTTGAACTTGACTATTTTTGTGCAAAATAAGCGCAAGGGAAGATAAGCTTGGGAAGAAGTTCTAACAGAGGGATATAGGTAATCCTCGAGTTACAACTGCGATGGAGAGTACTCCGTGTAGTCCTAAATTGTGACGGTCATAACGTGGGTTGGATCAGATTTTAAGCAAACCTATGGTTCATGATTGGCTGGTTTTTGCCAAAAACTGAAAGTAAATGCCATTTCTCCCTCCCACAAATATATCTTTAAAAATGCGGTTATTTGACCACAGGATGCTACAAACCAGGGATGGGCTGCTGGGGATTGGTAGGGGTTCGGAAGAACCTTTAGCTAAGATTCTGTGCAGTCCAAATCCCACTCCTGGCTGGCCCCACCCACCCCACCATGCCCCTCTCAGGAGTCTCCACGCGGCCTGTTTTGGATGCGGATAAATGCAGGGCACGCAGGGAGGGCAAAAAGCAGGCCTACTGGAAGTTTCGGAAGGCCGGAAGCAGCTCCATTTCGTGCCGTTTTCACCCTCCTAGAGGCTCGAGGAAAGCCTCCAGAGTCCAGGAAGGGCAAAAATGGTGCAGGATGGTGCAGGAGGCCAACCAGGCCATGCCCACCAAGGTCACTTCCACTATGGCTATGCCCACCCGGCAACCGGGCAGAGAACCCCTTGCTAAATTTTTTGAAACCCACCTCTGCTACAAACAGCCATAACTCAAGTAACCGAAGTACAATTATGTGACTGTGAGGGGCGAGGGGGGAATAGCTGATGGAGCAGCTGGCAGATTGCACGTACCTTCTAATTAGTACCGTGCTTTCCCGAAAATAAGACAAGGTCTTATTTTCTTTTGACCTATGCCCTCGGCCTTATTATCGGGGAAGGGGGCTCATTATTTTGGAGCCAGGCTCTTCGGGAGCCCACTCGCAAAAGAACAGCTGCCCGGAAACCCCCCCTTTCCAGCCGGGCAGAGCGCCATTCACCGACCCAGCGGTATCCCGAAGGTGCCAAGCTGTGTGAGCAGCAGGGGGAGGGTGGACCGACGCTCACACAGCTTCGCGTTTTTGGGATACCGCTGAGTCAGTGAGTGGCGCTCTGCCTGGCTAGAGGGGGCGGTTATCCGCTGGGCTTATTTTGGGGGGAGGGCGTATATTTTTGGCCACCGAAAAAAAAATCTGGCATGGCCTTATTTTCAGGACAGGTCATATTTTCGTGAAAATATAGTACCATAATTTCGAACAATCACTAAGCAATTGATCATAACTTAGGATTACCTATAGAAAGCAAGTGGAAAAATCGGTATCAGAACTAAGGAAAAGCAACTGTAGATGTGAATGGTTACATTCACACATTGCTTTAGGAATGCTGGTTAGGGAATTCTGGGAATTGAAGTACACACATCTTAAAAAGTTACCAAGTTTGAGGAACTCTGCTCTGGGCCAACAAACACTTTTTTTTTCTGATTTGGGGTTAAAGAGTGCCAGGAGAACCGGCCATTAGGAACTAAAATCTATCATTTGCAGCTTCACAGATTTAGTAAATTGCGATGTAAGTCACAAGTAAAGAACTGATCACTCACGGTAAGGCGTGAACAAGGCCAAATCAGGTTAACGATTGTGTGCGGAAGAAGTAGAAGAAAGAACATACATAAAAACTGTTTGAGACGCTATGAAACCAAGTGTTAATGTTTTGAGAATTTCTTTCTATATTGAAATGTTTTTTTTTTAAAGGAAAATAAATGTCTGCTGTCAAAGAGGAGGAGGAGGGGGGCAAAAATTGGCTTCTGGCTTACAAACCATCTCCATTAGAAATAAAGCTGGTATTTGCTGTAGGACTCTCCCTAAATTCCTACAATGAGAAAAAAAAAATCAGCAAACATTGGCTCTTCTCTCATTTCAGCTCTTAAGTCAACCTCTCCTTCCCAAACTGGACTTCCCCTCCGTCTCCAGAAGCAACCCTGGCTAACAACGCTTTGTGCATTTCCAAAAAAAACGATACATTCACCTTCATTTTCCTTCCTTGAGCCGAAGGATTTCCCCTTTCCTGCCCCACGAAAGACTGTTTGAAGCAGCATTGTTGATCGAGCCAAGGGAGAGACACACCTTGAACTATCCTGTGGGGAAATAAAAGCTAATAGTAGTTTAACCAGATAAGATAAAAATGCAATTCGGAAGTCGCAGGGTTGAGAGTCTGGCTTGGGTTAGGATTCCAGCAACTTGCCCCTTATTACAAACTTACCCGCTGGCTTGCAATCGCAGTGTTTCTACAATACAATACAGTAGCAGAGTTGGAAGGGGCCTTGGAGGTCTTCTAGTCCAACCCCCTGCCTAGGCAGGAAACCCTATACTGTTCCAGACAAATGGCTCTCCAACATCTTCTTAAAGCCTTCCAATGTTGGGGCATTCACGACTTCTGGAGGCAACTTCTGTTCTACTGATTAGTTGTTCTCACTGTCAGGAAATTTCTCCTCAGTTCTAAGTTGCTTCTCTCCTTGATTAGTTTCCATCCATTGCTTTTTGTCCTGCCCTCAGGTGCTTTGGAGAATAGTTTGACTCCCTCTTCTTTGTGGCAACCCCTGAGATATTGGAAGACTGCTATCATGTCTCCTCTAGTCCTTCTTTTCATTAAACTAGACAGACCCAATTCCAGCAATTATTCTTTATATGTTTTGCCTCCAGTTCAGCAGTGGGATTTTTTTTTTTACTACTGGTTCTGTGGGCGTGACATGGCTTGGTGGGCATGGCTTGGTGGGCA